GCAACCGGGGACAGGGGCCTCCCGGCCCTTCCCCCCCCCCCCACCCGTCTGGCTCAGAGGTCCCAGGGGGTGCTCCCCCCAGCAGTCTCAAGCCTCACCCTCGTAGGGGCCCAGGCTACTACTTCCCCACGCTTCCCAGGTTTCCCCAGCCCCTTCCCACCCTGCTGGGCACCTTTAGCCATCAGTGAGGGGGAAATGCCTGACAGAGGATGCAGATGCTGCCCAGGGCATGTGAACAGCCGTGGGCTGGGGGCAGGTGAAGCTGCCAGCAGAGCAGCCAGTCAGCAGTGCTTCCCCCTCAAGCAGCTCATTCTGCATACCCCCTACCCCCCTATTTAAGTACACCTAGGGGTATGCATACCCCCAGTTGACAACCACTGTCCAAGTACTTTCAATTAGTTACACAACTCTCCCTCCCTGTGCATTTACATGCTGTGGACTTTTTAAAATGGCAGGGCACAGAAGGCTGGTAGGAACATATAATCTCTACCCACTAGCAAAATTAAGCCTAAAACTAGAAATAAGCTTAAAACTTCAGGAACCACCACCAACATTTTAGACCAGTTTGTAGAGTATAGTAAAGACAGACCCAATCCAGAACAGGAACATTGCAAATCATGTAATATCCTCTACCAATTGTAAAGCGTCCCAGCCAGCTTTGGCTACTGACCCAATATTGCGGGTCAGGACAAGAGCAGTGAAAGCCTCATTGCACATATACTTGATTTATTTCAGCATTCCTGGATTTGAGCATCTACTTTCTACCTCCCCTGAAAAGGAGGCCTTACCTCTGCTTCCGCAAATGTTAGCCCTTGTCATCTTAAACCATTCTTCCATTTTGCATTTCTCTCCTAGGCAGGAAAAGCCCATAGACTGAGTGCTGAGGAGAGGGAGCAGCTGCTACCAAACCTGAGAGCTGTAGGCTGGAATGAGGTGGATGGGAGAGATGCCATCTTCAAGGAATTCCATTTCAAGGACTTCAATCGGGTACAGAACTAACACCTGGGTTGCTACATCAAGTGGCCTGGTGGTTTAGGGCACGAAGTGTAATAAAGAAATTGATTGAAGCATCTTTTATTCAATTAACACATGTAGGCCAGAATGGTCTCCTGTACTGCAGATCATAGGACCTCACTTTTTGGGGGTGAGGGACAGGAGGGGAGCGCTTAGAGCAGGTCATGGAAGGAAGATGCAAACCACTGAACCAGACAATGTTTTTCATTCATTATTCCCATTCACAAATGGGTAGATCCTATGGAAGTCCAGAGCAAAAGCAGCTTTTTGGCAATTCATGCCTGTATGGCTTCCTTAAAAGTTATTTCTATATAGGATAAACAAACTTTAAAGAAAAGGGAAAAAAAAGACACAGCACAAAACTAACTTCCCTTTCATTTTATCTGGGCAGGCCTTTGGCTTCATGACCAGAGTAGCCTTACAGGCAGAAAAACTGGACCACCACCCTGAATGGTTCAACGTTTACAACAAGGTACAAGGAAAGCAATGGGTTTTATTAGATCTTAAACATGGAGGGTGTTGCAAGTTTAAACAAAGGATAAAACATATAACACTTAGCTATTTCTACTATCAAGATAAAGAAGCTGTTTATATGAAGTGAGACTTGGAAGTTGGGTAGAGGTAAGAACCTAAGAACTGCCATTTACTGGGTCAGCCCGTACATGTCTCATGCCCAGTACATTGTGCCACACAGTGGCAGACGGGCGGATGCTGACAAGGAGAGTGAACTGGGTATGAGCAGGGCTCCCACCCCCACCCCACTGTTCCTTTCTCACATGCAGCCTCTAGCATTTAAGGTATAGGAAGTTCTCATTCAGAAGCTGTATCCCCAGTTCCTATGCTCAATAGCTACTGATGCCCATTTTCCTCTAAGAGTCTGTCCAATCCCTTTTTTCATTGGAGTGCAATAGTGTTTTCACTCCTTTCTGGTATTTTTGCTTTCCCTTCCAACTATTAGAGATTTTATTTGTAGCACTACAAGAAAAAATAATAGTGGAGCCTGTTTCAGATAGGTAAACATTACAACACTGGGATAAGTTTAGACTATCATTGTTTTCTACACTAATTGCAGCATGGGTTTTTGTTTGTTTTAGGTACACATCACCTTGAGTACACATGAATGTGCAGGTTTATCTGAGCGGGATATCAACTTGGCCACTTTCATAGAGCAGGTTGCAGCTTCTCTGTCTTAAATAAGGCAAAGTAAGAATTGATTTTTACAGCCACTGCTGCCTCACTTTTCAATCATCAAGAGCAGTTGGATACATTTGCCAAGCAATTACTGATAGAAAAAAACAACAAAAAAGCAATTACCGATAGAGAAAGACAAAGCAAGTTTCTCTACCACAGCTCAAGATTTCCAATGGACTGAGCAGCCCTAGCCTACTTCTTACTCACAAGGATGTACGTTTTGTTTAATGGTTTGCATCCACTTTTGTCTGGAAATTAGCAGTCTCGATTCCTGTTTGGTCTACCAATATGAAAGTTGCTTGATCTTTCGCGTTTTCTATACGTATAACCTTTACCAGAAGGAGTAGTGCCACACAACTGCATAAACAAACAGTTATAAGTATTTCTTTCCAAAGAGTTGTGTTCTTGCTTCTTACCTAATAACTATATTTTACTATCTATTGTAACATATGTGACCGTGTCTCTCTTGTGTACTGGATATGCGATGTGCAGTTTGGTTACATGTAATCCTTGTTCAAGCAGTATTATACAAGGCATGTGGGAGCCACCTGCATTGCAAATGGCTATTCAATAAAAGGTAAGAACCAAAAAAGCGTGCTACGTTTCTAAGCATTTACAAAGAAGTGTTTATAACCAACTTGTTCACCAATTGAATGGAATATTCATTACACAGTTTTCACCGAACAAATTACTAAGCAACTTCCTTGGCCTTTTCACTTAATTGCTCTTGCTATCACAATGCTTTAATTTACTCCACTCTTCCTCCACTGCAGAGGGAAGTCTTAACATTGTTGCAAAGCATAACAAATCACTTCTGGGAAGCTGCACATGCATCTACAGATCTGCACCTCCAAGTAAAATGGCACTGCAACCAAACAGGATCCAGAAGGGAATTCAGGACTCCTCACATGAGGGGACTTTCACAGAATTGAACTTATAAAGCTACTTAGATTAGCCATCAACTTGCTGTAAACAGGCAAAGGTATCCTTGGCTCAGAGACTGGCAGAAAAGACAGTATTCAAGGTTGTACTGCAGATGTAGTAAGTCTCTGAAAAAAGTGAATGCATAAAAAAACCCCACACATTTTAAAATACAAGGGTATTCTGTTTTCAGGCAAAAATTAGATGAAAAGAGTATTACTATTAAAATGTATTTTGACACTGTTGGAGGGACATCACTTACTGCAATAACTTGGTAAGTAAGTTATTCTGTATTCAAACTGCTACTTTTAATAGACCAAATTTTACTTCGGCTGGGGAAATTCAGTAACTGTCTTTACCAAAATCCTAGGAATTGCTCTTCAAGTGGCTAACTTGATTGTCATTTTTCTATTCTACTGGCTCCAGCACATACCTGAATAAATCCACATCTCTTCAGTATAACTTGCTTTCTGCACCTTTAAACAGTTTGAGAGAAAATATGCCAAAGATAATGCCCTTATCAGGACAGTGAAAGGAAGAGCTGTTGCAATAGCTGCAAGTCACATTATTTAACAATAAACCACACGTTAGGAGCCATGATCTAGATTTTATGCTGTTTAGGACCAGCTTCACATCAGTAAAAGGCAGATAAAGTATGCCAGCATACCCAAATGCACTATATTAGTATTTAAAACAAATGCACTATAGCATTTTTAGGTAGTAGTGAGCTAAAGCAAATATAGAATCACTATTAGATCAACTTCTGTTATATAGGCCCACTGCAAATAGCCTGTGTACATTTAGTGTACAAAATATCCTAATACTGTATGTACTCTGCGCATGTGTGCGCGCACACACACACCTCCATGGCTTAGAAGGAGACTGTATCCTGATATGTCACATAGGACAGTCTTCAGTTTGATAAGTAAAGATCAAACATGTGCAAGCACTTAAACTTCCTTGTGAAGACTCATGTATACCCATTAACTCCATTCTTCACACCTCAAACATTACCAGTGTTTAATACCACATTTGGATAGCTATCCAGTAGTATCTTGCAGGAAGGCAGAATCTGATATTTTGGGAAATCCCTCCACCTATAAAAGTACCATCAAGTTTTTTATTAGAGTCTGTTCTTTAGCTTTTAAAGCTAAGTACATAAAAGGTATTAAATGACACAGGTCTTCCCAAAAAAACTGCAAATATGCATGATAAAGGAGATACGTTTTCTATATTAAAAGACAAAAGCAAACGAAGACTACGTACTAATAAAATACAGTGTCATATTCTTACAGTATAGAACAAATTCACATAAAACATAGTTAAAGTCACAACCATTAACCATAGGTAAACCTCAGAATGGAGTCACTTAGACTGATAGGCAAGTTGCGAAATACATCTAAAACATGAGCTGGAACACTGATTTGTTAGACCCAACTGATTTTGTTTTGCTGTTTTGTTTTTTTTTTTAGGGAGAGGATTAGGAATTTGGGGACCATTTTTAAATAGTATTTCTCCCCCCCCCCTTTTTTTTTTTTTTGGGGGAGGAATTGGGATTTGGGGGCCCTTTTTTAAAAATTTTTTCCCCCCCCCCCTTTTTTTTTTTTTAGTCTGGACTAAAAGGAGAGCCAAAGTAACCAAGCAGTTATACAGAAGACCACCCCCTACCCCCATCCAAGGTACAGTGAATTCTGATAGTGATACAGTGATGCTCAAATGGCACAACAGTAACAGGATCAAGAAGTCCACACTGTGACTACCAAAGTTGGCAAAGCATAAATAGGCAATTTGACCAAAAAAAAAAAAAAAAAGAATTTCCACAGAATTTAGAGAAAACAGACACATACAACCTAAAAACCATGAGCTGGCCAAGATATAGCATCTTTTGAGTAGAAAATAATGGACATATTTATAAATGAGATTATCCATCCCCACAGACATTGGGCCCAAAACTAAATTTGCTTTTGCAAAGTGTGGTAATTCACTCTTGCAAGCTGGATAGTTATTGGGCAAGTGTGTACTTCAGACATATTAAGCCAATGAGGCTTAACTCAGCATCAGTTTGGTTGCTAGTAAATCTTGTACTACCCAGAGAGCTACCCCTTTAAGATGTGCAGCAGATTTTCCACAATGAGTAGCACAGCAAGACCATCTCTTGAAGTGTCTAGTGATATAACAAAAATGGAAATGCACTCCACCCCTCAATATAGGGCTCTGCACAACTAACCCCATGACTCATTAGCATCATCAGTGCTTCTTCTAGTATGCTCTAGGGGCAGCAGTGATTTGATAAGTTTATTCTATGCAGTTTCTGTACAGGACATACTGAGATGGAAAAAAAAAAACAGTGCAGGTGAGGCTAATTCTCAAAAGAGACTGTCCATGCAATGCAAAATTTTGATATCCAGTATTTATTAGATGCTACCATAATAGATCCCTATTAGCATTAAGCCAGCACCTTTGTAACACTAAGAAGACTTGGCTCAATAAAACTATCTTGTAGTGAAGGTGGATGTACTGTACCTGAGGCCAATTTGCCACTGAGATTATTTTCAATATAGTACCATAACAAGCCGACTGTGGCAAAACATCACAGTCAGTAGCCGATCCATCACACTCTTCCTGGAGTCCCAGAAAAACCCAGGGCAGTGTCAAGGCATACTGGTGAATGCCCTTTGAAAATGTGCCTTAAAAAAAAAAAAAAGTCAGTGCAAAGAGCAGGTAGAGACTACTACTTCTTTTACAAAAGTCACCATTTCATGCCAAAAGATGATGTAAAAAAAGTTAACTTTGGTGTCACGATTGCACATCAGTGCCTAACCATTCCACAGAGTGTGGCTCAACTGCTTGACTTCAGCATTTTAGGATAGTGCAAACCCTTCTGTTTAAGCACAATAAAATAACCATTTTGCTCTCTTCCTCTAGACTTGTGCAAAATACAACAGCTTTATGGATGGACAAAGATGTTCTAGAAAAGCTTGTTAAGCAGACAGTGGTTCTTCAAGAGTACTGTGGGACTTATTTCCCTTTCATCCATTAGGTTTAAAATAGAATTTCCCATTACAATTCCAATGGATACAAGATTCTGGAAGGGGTTTGTCATCCATTGCTCCACCCTCCCACTCCCCATAAAAGGAAGTCATTCAAAGAAATTACAACAGAAAATATGCCTAACTGGTATCTCCATACGAGAACTTAAAAGACTGAAAGGATAAATCAATAAAGGAAAGGAATCACAGTGCAGTTCGCTAAATGTAAGTCCCTAAAATTTGTTAAATGCAGTTTCCTACCACAGCCTGCATCACAGTTGGAGAAATTATTGAAAACCTATGCTCCATTCACTTTCTACCTCCAACTTGGGAAGAAGCAGTCTTGAGCATCCCAAAGTTTTAATTTTACACTAAAAATCTGAACCCTAATTGGAGGTTCACTAACTGTAAGGTCTAGAGAATTCCCTGTCCCCCCACCCTCTCCCCAACCAAGGGGAAGAAATGATAAGGAATGAACTGAGGCTTAGAATACCTGAGAAATTTGGGGTTGCGGAATGGACTTCTGACTGCCACAAACACTACCATTCCATTCAAGTCATTTAGGACTAGCCTTGGCAGTTAACTAAGGTGACGGAATAGAACTAAAACTGAACAGATAGAAAAGTGAAAGCAGCTCAAAAGAAGTTTGAGTGTGGAGGGAATAGATAGAGAGAGAGAAGAGAAGGGAAACAAATTGTATAGATCAAGCTGCCACATGACCTGTACTTGCAGGAACAAAGAAAGATCATAGCCTAATGCAATTCCCTTTCTCCAGAAATTCTTCAAACTATCACCCCAGTACTGGCTGGTAAGGCACCAAATGCTACATATTCAATGGTGTCCAGGAGAACCATTCATGTGTTTTTCACTAGAAGGGATGTCTGTGTTGTAGAGGGAGTCCAAGTATGCATGGGAAATCTCTGCTACCAAGCTTCTGTCTGGGATGGACTGCGCCATTCCATAGATTGCACCCTATGTTAAAAAAAAAAAAAGAAAGTGATTAAAACAGAAGCACTCACTACCCTAAGAGGAAAGTATCAGTTTTAAGATTTAAAACTTTCATTCCAAGTTTATCCTTGTTGTGCAGCAGTGATTTACCATGCCAGTGGTCTTGGCTCCAGGGTCCTTCATGATCTCCAAGATGCATTCTTTGACATCTTCCAAAAACAGTTCTGCAACCCCATCTTTTGTGTGCAACAATGTAATGCAAAGGTGAATGCTGAAGATGAAACGGAAAGTAAAGATTAGTCACTTAACCATGGGAAATCTGGAAATCTCCACACAGTACATTTTTAGAGTTACCAAGAGGTTTCCAATCATGCCATTCCTCTTAAACGAGGAGCCCAGCCTGGGAAAAACTAGGCTGACATGGCTCAGGGCACTAGGCAGTTTCTCACTGCTACCCCTTCAAATAATCTTCCTATAGAACACACATTATACCACGCTATTTTCAGACTTTTGAAAGCTGAGCTCCTCCTCACAGAAATAGCAATCAAACCTCCCTCCACAGTATTGTAAAAAAGTCTTATGAATTTTAATACCTGCCCCCACAAACCATCCAACTTATCTTCTATACGCATGGTCCCAAAACTAAACATACCTAACTCAGGAAATACCTGTATGGATCTTTGTAAAAGTATTTCCTCCACTTTCAATGAAATATTTAAACGCTAACTCTGCTATCATTAATATGTAAGTTAATATCCATTAAAATGAATGAGACAGTGCACACCTCTGAATTATTATTTTAGGCTCTCTACACACTCTTTGCTTTCTTCATGTTTTGAAGGTTTTCATCGCAACAATTAAGGAGGTCTGCCCCCTTCCTGCCTTCTTTAAACAGCCATTCACACACCCAAAGGGGACATGTTTTGTACCTTGGGAAATAATCATTTACATTGCTATTTTATTAGATGTGATCAACACAAACCCTTTTAAAATTCCAAGTAGTGTGCATCTGCACTGGAAAAAACCCTTACTATTACCTTGTGCTGGTGAGCACATGGCAATTAACAGGATGGAAAATCCAAGTGAAGACAAAGCAATGTGTACTTCTCAAAAGTGTTAGCAGATCAAGGAAGAGTACAGGAGAAAGCTTCACCTAAAACTTCACTTCCACCTAAAACTTACGTAAATTTACAACTGCCCCATCTTCATTAAAATTTTATTTTGCACTAGTTACTATGTTAGTTAACACAGGGATAAAGATGAACCTGCTATCCCAGTAGTTGTCAGCCTAAAATCCAAGACACCCCCTGATACGCTTGAGACACCCTTTGAGAAAATGCCAGCTCTTACTTTTCACTCCTCTGACTACAGAAAAATACTAGAACAATTATTCTGTTGCGAAAAGCTCAGAAAGCCCACAGCAAGGCAAAGGAAATCCACAGTGTCAAAACCAATTTGAAATGTCTGGGTTTATCTTGGGAATCAAGCTGATACTTAAGAGTGCAGCTTTGTGTGGCACCCCACAGCACCCTTAAAAGAATCTCAAAGCACTATCCCCATGGAAAGGAAGCCTAAACATAAGTTGTCAAATGGCAAATCAGAAGTCAATTCCTCATACATACAAAACACACACCCATAATTTTATACAGCCAGGTTACACAGTTCGTCTAAAATCATAGCTTCCATTTCAGTAGCCAACTTACCTTCGAGGGAACTGCAACATATTTAAGTTCCATCCTTTAGTGGCTAACAAATTTGACAACCGATAGATGTCAAAAGTATCTGAACCAACAGAGATGACAGACACCTCAGGATTGCCAAAGATTAAGATGTCATCAATTTTCCGCAATCTTGAAAAAGTTTAAAAAAAAAGTTATTTATTTTTATTCTCTCTTGATATGGATACCAGGAAGATAACTATTTTGCAGGCTTCCTCAGGCCAAAATGGAAAGCACTGTACAGATCTACCCAAGGCAGCAAAACATTTGCCTTCAAGCAGCTATAACAGAGGGACCAAGAACTCAAATCAGGACCCAGCGTATTAGAAGCTTTAAACTTAATCAATTCTCACAAAGGCAAGATGAGTCACCCACATTATCAAACTGAAGTCAACAGATCTAAGAGTTATTTGAATAGTCTTGATTCTATTCCATCTCCCACAAGTGTCAGATAGAAAACCAGTCTTTGGGTTTCTCCAGTAGGAAAATTAGAGTGAAAACCCAGCACCCAGAGAACCTGGGGTAAATCACAGGATAAGTCTTAATTCACTGAACTCCTGCTAATCTTTCTGGGTTCGGGAAGGCATCTGGCCTAATAATCTCCCTTCTTTGCTTTGAGGAAGCTTCACCCATGTATGTGAAACATTTATGGAAGGAAAGGAATACATTTCACCCTCAAGTTTTCTACTCAAAGGGAGAGAGGGGATTCAATTTATTAGGCAAACTTTGAGCTAAAGTCTGAAAAAAACATTTGGTCACTCTACACGTGAAAGGGAAATCTTACTGAAAAAGATAAGAGGTGCAAGTCATTGAATTCCAGAATATTTAAATCCTCCATTTAAAATAAGTGGGTGAATGAATGAACAGAGTGCACAGGTACCATGTTATCTTACTACAGTAAGTCTACAGGCAGCCTTATTGTGTCTCCTTACCACTCATAGTTAGTTAGTAGTTTGTCAGATATCATTGGAACAAACCCCATGAGAACAAAAATACTTAGCCACACTCAAGCACTAGCAACTACCTATTTATGAAAAGCTATGAATAGCATAGACAGTTGAGCACACTCAGAAAAGGAAAGGACCGTGTGAAAGAGTGGAGAACCATAAGAAAAGAGAGAGAGAGCGGAGTAGCCAAGAGCATCAGCCCAACAAGCCAAAAAAAAGAGACAGTGGGGTGCTTCTAGAGAAAGAAGGATGGCTCCTCCTTCCAGCCGCCAGAGTGATGAATTTCATATTTCCAGCGTTCTGCAGCTAATGATTTATATGAAAGATAAAACCTCAAAGCAAGGCCCAGGAACATCAACTTGATAAAAATCCCTACGCCCCTGGCTCAACTTGAAGTGGCATGAGAGGGTTTAGTTTTTAACTGAGGCATTAGTCTCTGAACTCAGTTACTTAGCTTTTGGAGCCCCAACCTCTCCTTACTCTGCTCCTTTGCATGTACTTTTGGTTAGCAGGTTCAAGAGGTGCCAAGGGCTCCAAAAGGGATTAAGAGAGAATAAAAATAATACCAAAGACTTACTCTGATTCAATGAACCGTGCGGTGTTAATAATCTTCTTTGTTGCTTCAACATAACCATCTTCTCCCACGTGCATCATAGTTGCCCAACAAGCTGCAATGATACCACCAGGCCTGGAACCAGCCATGGTTGGAGATGCATAGATCCCCCCTTGCCAGTCAGGTGCAACAAAAAACTGATAGTGTCTGTATTTCTTATCACTGTACAGAAGTACTGAGGAGCCTTTTGGAGCATAGCCATACTGCAAGAGATTTATATATATACACACAAAGATTGCCATTAAACATGTACACAAATGCATGTGCTCCCCCCCCTCCAAAAAAAACCCTGCAAAATTCAAAATTTGTATACAATAAAAACTGCTGACACTCTACATGCCCACACTTCATGTAGTGTGTGAAAGTATTCAACTGTGGGAATATTTCCTCTACTGCCCTCCTGAATATTATGTTATATTAGTTAACAAAAGAAAGAATGCCAAACCTTGGTAGAGATCCAATTACTAATGCCCTCTTCAATGCAGTTTTTAGAGAAAACTGCCTAAGTGTAGTAGAATGGAATCAACTTGCACCATGAAGCACTGTTTGATCTGTCCTGTACTTGGTATGTGCAGCTTCAAGTTTTATATGCGTCATAAAACTATCCAATACCTTCTACCCACTGAATTTACAGCATACAAGACAATAACTATACCAAAACACATTAATTACAATTACCTGTTCTATATTTTTCAGAAGCTAGAGACAATTTTGAATACAGTTTTAGTTGCCCTAATGTTTTGCCCTTTATTTTCATTTAAAGGTTTCATCCTTGTATGGAGAAACAGGGTTACAAAAACTAATTCACTTCTTCCTATTCCCAGCTCAAAATGGGTTTCCCGAGTTACAATAGAGAATCCAAATGAAGGAGTGCTTGAAAACATATAGGCTGTCTCTCTCTCATTTCCTTACCTATATTGCAACTGGTCACATTCAAATCTACCACAAAGAGGGACTGAATATTTTCTGGACAGAAAATACGTCTCCAGACACCTAACACCAGCAAGAATATATAGTTTAAGGATATATTTTCAGTTAAAGTTCAATTAATCCACACTTGTTTCTGGACAGTTTCCACAGTCATGTGCAATTCTATTCCTGTTGCATTTATGCTGTACTTAGCTTAACTGCAGAACAATCCAGTGGATATAATACAAGAAGTGCATTAGGAAAGCCTGAAAATACAGCTTGTATTAGAAATTCTTCTTGGATATTGGAGTTCTTTGTAGACATGTCTGCCCAGAGTAAACACTAACTACCTCTAAAGAATTATGCACAGAAAAAGTGTCATTTGGTGGAAGCAGAGCCATCCAATCAGATGCAAACCCCAACTTTCCCCCTTCTCACCTTGTGCGTATCTGCAGAAATACTAGTCACACCTTCCACACGGAAGTCAAATGGATGCTGTAGCGGGAACCCTGCCTTGTCCATAAAAACAATGAGAAAGCCACCCAGGCAGGCATCTACATGGAAGGGGATTCTATACTTCAATGCCAGCTATACCAGACAAGAAACTTTAGTTAGTTTAAGTCAGAGGTAAATGGACTTCTTCAGAAAGTTGAACCTTGTATGTGAAGGCATTTTGTTTTTTGTATTTGGAGATCCCAAATACTTTTGCAAAAGGGTTCATCACTGAAACAGTCCTCAAACTATGGTCAAATGGTAATCCAAAAGAGCTGCCTTCTCCCTGCATCTTCTTGTTTCTAGCTTTTAAAAATGCATTCAGATGTGGCCAATACATATTTCCTATTATTTTAAATCATCGGTTGTAGCTGCTGCATAGATGTTATGCAACAAGATTCAGAAGGGTATCCATAATGCATTAAAACAAGATCCGCTCAAAACATAAAGCAATAAAAAATTAAATACCTAGGTGTTCTCTCCTTCTGGACTCCAGTGAAGAACACCATTTAACAAAGCCAGTTTCAAAATCTTTTATATATTCCCCTGAATGGTTATTCTAAATCAGACACATGCACGTTTAAACTAAAACTGTTTCTCCTCTAATACTGAAGTGTAGCCTCTCATTTATCTCACCACAGCCTGGGGTCTTGTAATGAAGAAATCTATTACCAGATAGGTAATTTCACAATTACTTCCATTTTAATTTCAGAGTGACACCACGGCACTGTCAAGCTAGAGAAGCACAGCTTGAATTCATGCACATAGTAAATATAACGTATACATCTTCCGCAACAGCAGGAAGAGGATACAAGTCACTGGCACAGTCTTTAGCTTTAGAAGACAGAAGTGTGCATCTGAAGTTCATAATTTTACAAAAATCCATGCCAGAATGACATTACTGTCTGCTAAGGTTCAAATCCAAAACAGAGCACAATATAAGCAATTTGGCAGCAATGTGTAGGGGTCATATCTTCAACATTAAAACCCTCTGTTTTCAGGACAAATTTTAAGTAATTATGTTATAAATTAAAAGAAAACCTGACAGTGCCTATTCCCTGCCTGCTTTTTAGTCCAAGCAGTGTTGATTAACCCTTGATCTGTTAGAAATGGTAATCAATTTTCCAGCTAACCTGCTGCTCTTTCTACCAGATTTTTTCAACAGCAACAAGTTCAAGACTTTTGTTGTTCTTTCAACAAAGAAAACACTTGCCAATGATATAAATTTATTTACCCTCTTCCTTTCAGAACATTATTACAGCAAATCTTTTATTCTAGCAAGCACTTCACCTTTGCCACATCCTCAATGGGGTCCATAACTCCATGGGGGAACTGGGGAGCTGAGCAGACCAACATTGCTGTGTTCTTTGAAATAGCTCTTCTCATTGCCTAAAGATTTAAAGAGATGAGATGCTCACACTTCATGCACCAACTTCTAGCCCATCGGGGGGGGGGGGGGCAGG